CTTCATTTCACTACACTGAATAATATTGGATAACATTTTCATATATTACTCACTTCAAATTACTCTAAACTTCAATCAAGAAAATATAAAATTGAATTCATTATATGAAGATATTCTCCACAGATTTAATAATCAATTTAAAAAGTTACATGAAAAGTTTGTTATAATGTTGCATTTCTTTCAGAATCACAGAGAAATATTTCACAATAGTAAAAAAAAAACACTTCATATGAAAAACCAATAATAGTAGTAGAACTATAAATTAGAAACAAGAGAATCATTTATCCTAAGAGATTTTAATATACACAAGTTTTCATCTTTTAGATATCTTTGACAACATTAGTACTCACTTATCAATATAATTCACTTTTGAGTACTAAATGTTATTTAGTTGGTACTTAAGTACAAAAATTTAAAAATACAGTATAATCTCCAAATAGCAGACACTGTTCAAACTGAGAAGTTTCTGGTTTTTAGAGGTGTCTGCTATTTGGAGATATATGCTGGCAGCTATACTGTATCTTAACCTGGTCATCATTTGGTGAAGAATACAACGGATTATGAAAACATAAAATTTGCATTAGCAATGTGAATATACCAAAAAGCATACATAGGCTATCATATGTAATTAAAATATATACAATACATATATTATTTATTTTTTCAGCTGTAAAAATCTCATTTTAATTAAATCTTGTACAAATGTCGAGTTACAAAGACAATTTGCCATCTACTTCAAAGGATGATAAATATATTTGGAATTGTTACATTTATGCTGTCATTTATGATCTAAGTGACTAATAAAAATCAATACAGGGATTTATCTGCTCTGTAGTTAACAGGTAGGTGCAACGTTTTGAAGAGTTTTGCTTTTTTCAGTAACTGTACAGTAAATTATACTTTAGCTATTACAAAGCTGTTAAAATGGTTATGAAAACAGTGTTTGTTTGATGAAAGTTCAAAGGTCATGTTTTGAAGGCAATTTACCAACTACTTTAAAGTGTGGAAAGATATTTAGTTTTTTGCATTTATGACATCATTTATGATCTTAAGTTTCTTTCTTCATTACTACTATACTGATTCTTGTCAAATAAATGAATAACTTCTGAAAAGTTTATATTTTTTTGATATAAGCTTATTTCCAACAATAGGACAGAAGTTTAATAACATTATGCAAGACAATAAATGGTAATTGACAACTTAACCATATTAGTCTTCTCTAACAGATAATGAATATTGTTCAACTTTTTATAACCTGTCCTCCTCCCCATTCCTATTTTAAGCCAGTCTTTATTTATCATCTACAGTCAAAATTCACCATCTTATAGAGTAATTGAACTAATTCTTTGTTTTTGTTTTAAAATATTTCATACGTAATTAATTCTTTCAGAATATTGATGGTGGAACATTGCATTTTTGTAAGGTTGGTTATGGATGATGGCATCTATTATTTACAGGTAAATATAATAGATGTCCTATTTGACGGGTCTGGGGATTGTAGAGATGTCTGCTATTCAGTAGTGTCCATTAATGGAAGTTTTGCTGTATAACAAAGAATAAATTTTTGAATCTAAGAATATGTTTTAATTTACTTATCTATATTTTATTTATTTCATTTTGCTTTTTTTCCCTTAAATATTTTATTTTAAATTTGTATGTTTAAATTATTTGTGTTCAAATATTCCATCATAAAATGTTCCCATTTAAAAAAATTTGAATACAGTTTTACATCTGATGATGACCTATAGAATTTAGGTTGAAAACATTTGTGAAGATATAAATAAATACTTCTCATCAAGCATAAGGTGATTACAAAACTTTGTTAACTATTTAAGAACATACATTAAAAAGCTTCTTGCCTGTATTATATTATATAATTACAAAGATTACTTAGTTACTTATGACTAATGAACAGGCTTATTACATACCCAACTTAATTAACTTATCCTAAAATGCATTTCGGCCTTACTAGCCCTTACCAATTGAGTGACAGAAAATAGAGTCTATGGTAAAATTGCCAACATTACAATATACGTTAATAGTGTGCACATAATAGTAGACAATAATAAATGCATTTTGGGATAAATTAATTAAATAGGCTGGGTGTGTAATAAGTTTGTTCATTAGTCAGAAGTAACTAAGTCAGTGGTTCCCAAACTTTTTTGATTCTAGGTGCCCTTGCTAAATGCAGATTTTCCCAAGGTGCCCTATGTCAAATTCTAACAAGTACATTATAAAAATTTTATAACATTTCGCGGCTTCCTCACAGATGCCGCGAAGCCCTAGGGCGCAGCAGTGCACACTTTGGAAACCACTGAACTAAGTAGTTTTTGTAATTTAAAAACAAGTTTAAAAATTCATAATAAAACTATTTTTAAACTAGCAGATAAGCCTGGCATTGCCCAGGCAAAAAATAAGAACAAACATTAAGATTAACTAATTTTGTACAGTAAGACTCTGCTTAATGTAGGGGATACGCTCCTGGACAACAAAGCACTAAATGAAACAGCATTAAACAAGGTCATTTTAATACAGCAAATAGGGAAAGGGAACATGCAACTGAAAATAAACAGATTTTACTTTAATTTTAAGTTATTTTTATATTCATTTGCATAATAATTTATGTTAAATATATGCACACAGAAATGTAAAGTTCATTCTTTGTGACGAAGGTCCAAGCTCTTCTGAAATTCGTGTTTTTTGTGATAAAGTCGTGTAGTTTCATTTGTTGCTTTATTTCTTTTCTTAAGCAAATGTTGGTAGCAGGAGATCGTATCCAAAATGCATCGTCTTTCTTCTGCACTCCTTTCAAAATCTGAATCATTTACTACAATTTGATTAATGATTTCAGTTATTTAGCAAACTTTTACTAAGGGAATCTATAGTGAAATTCTTTGGGTTCTTTGTTTTCAGAATCCGTTTTCCAGTTCTGCATGAATTCCTTGTTCTGCCAGTTCTTGACGGTTGTCATTGGTAAGACTCTTACCAGAAACATGCAGTAACTCCTCAATATTCTGCTCGTCTATATCTCATAGTCCTGCTATATTGATTAGGTTGAGTTTGATCAACCTAATGATACAGCGATAGGCTTTTCTCATTGAGAATTCTTGAATACTTTCAGCCATAACTTCTTCCACACTTCGTTCGTGCATTTATCGGTTAATTCTTGCCAAGCGAAGTCGATATTGCCTATGGTATCCAAGATGTAATATTTTTTTCCAAAATTGCACCAAACAAACATAGATTTAAGGAAAGTATAGTGCTACGAATCGCCACCTTTTGCTGATTGGTTCATGTTTGGGAATAATTGTATTATATACAAAGCAATGAAATGCCGCAATAATTTGAATCAACGTAAATTTTGAGCTTTTTTTTAGACTTCGAGCAGATCACATTATATTGAATCAGCATTAAGAGGAGTCTTACTGTACTTCTAACCCTTCTATTGCATTATATTACAGAAGTTGGTTTATATAACTACTAAGATTATCTTACAAAGCCAATCTTACCCGTTTTCACTGAGTGCAAGAATTAGGTTCCCCTCTTATGAGGCTAATTAGATAATTTTTAGATGGGTCTAAAAATATGTTCGATTTCTTGCAAAAACACAAAAAACCACATCTAAAATAGTACAGTAGAAGCAGAGTTCTTCAGAAATCCTTTACTCTCTCCCCCTTGGGGGGATTTAAAAAAAATCCCTTCTTAGTGTAAATTCTCATGACATACCCTAACTGTGTACTGAATTTCAACTTTCAACTTCTAACCGTTTGGACTTTGTACTTATTATTATCATTATCAACCAATCTTGATTACATTACAAGATAAAAAAAATTAACAAAAAATTAAATAAGATAAAATATAGAATAAAAAGTATTAAAACAAAATTAATTAGTATATAGAATGAAATAAAATATTGAAGAAAATAACACCCAACAGAAATCAACTATTGCATAAGTGACAGTCAAATTGAAAATTAATTAACAATGTTCACAAAACGGCTTCTGTAACCAGAGTGCTGATGCTTGACAAATGTTCTTATCCTGTATAAGTCTGTTCAAGAAAGTCACCTTATGATGAGATGGCACTTCCAGGAATCACCACTTGTTAATGACCAGATGAAGATACTCATTCATCAAAAAAGATGAAGAAAACCAGACGATAATTCCTTTTCTTTGGCAAGACTTCTTAGTGAGACCACAACAAACTCAAACTTTCCCACTTAAACTGATCTATATATGCGCTGTGGCGGGCCGGCGGTCAACCAATCAGCTTTCCCACTGTTTCGTAGCTTTCTGCTGGGTCCGCTGCCCATTCAAATCTAATGGATCGTGGAATGTTGCCCATTGGTCCGGATTTTGACAAATCTCTATGAGCCATGATTCCGCCACGACAGTGACTATGTATTTTATTATTTATTTATTTCTTTATCTTTAAAACAGTTACTTGCTAATAGCATGACAATGATTTGTTAAAGTTAGTCTACAAAGTAGGATACTAAATAACTTGAAACACAGAACATTTCTAAACAAAGATAATGTATGCATTCTTGTAAGTGAAATTATGATCCTGTGCAATTGGTTAATTAATAGATTTAATAGTATTAAAAACAGTAATTCACATTGGGCAAAAAAATGACAATTTATGCATCAAATGAACCCAAAAAGAAAATACAGACTAAAGAAATTAAGTAATAAAATACTTCATTTTTAATTTTATGTTATTATAATTATATTATTCTGAAACAGATTATCATCTTGTTTTTGAATACATATGTATATGCATTCAGAACGAATAAAGTGAAGAGAAGCATGTATATTCCTAGTTTGTATTAATTATAGTACAACAGAACCCTGATTATCCAAAGGTTCTGCAGTACCTGAAGAAAATCTGTATATGAATACACTACTTTTCTTATACTGTAATTTATANGAAAATACAGACTCAAGAAATTAAGTAATAAAATACTTCATTTTTAATTTTATGTTATTATAATTATATTATTCTGAAACAGATTATCATCTTGTTTTGCTATTAAAAATTCCTACCTTTAAGAACAAGAATTTAATTATATTGTTAATTAGCATCCATGTGAAACTTACTTTTGATATTGCACTACTTAGACAACCTGTGATTTTCTTACAAATGCTTGCTACTAAACTTGTGGAAGATGGTGGAAGTTCACTAATAACAGTCTTCAAACCTAAAATTATTTTGAAAATAAATATATTATATGTTTTTATGACAGCATAACTACTAAGTAAAATATATATATATATATAGAAAACTACAACTTTACAGATACAGTAACAGTTCTTTTAGTAAACATTTCCAAAAAACTGTCACCTCTCAATAATGGACATTACATTGTATACTGTAAGATTTATATTGAAAGACCATATATTTTCATAAATATAGGGTCTCTTATTAGCAGACATTCAGATTAGTGGGTGGATACTTTATATCTTAATATAATGGGACAGTTACTAATTTGATATTATTTAATTTATTATACTAAAAACTAGAGTCCTGTTTATTCTGTCTAGAAAGAACAATATTCCAATCAAATAAACAGACCCTAGTCAAAGTCCAATGTATTTAAAAACAAAATTTGCAGCTTTAATAGTTTTGCTAACACTTCAATAAAATTAGAAACAGCAAAGTAGAAGCAGAAGAATTCGGCAAAGCACTGACGAAGAAACTAAGAATTTATTGGAGATCAGAAAGAAAGGTTTGTTTTCTATAATTTAACCATCAGAAATTGTAGAACATATTTCGCTTGTCATTTACATTGCATTGTCAAAGCTTTGTATTTCATTTCCATGCATTATAGGTTTTTTTATTTCAAAAATCAAGATATTTCCTGACCACTCCTTACATACAAGAAATAAATACAGTCAAACTGGTCTATAGCGGAACCTGTATATAATAAAAACCTCTCATTAACACAAGATTTTTTCAATCCCTTGAATTTTCTGCAAAAATCAATGTAAATTAGCCTGTATACAGCCAGAACCTGCCCAATATGGAAACAGAAAGGCAAATCATACTGTATAACAAAAAACTTGGTTCTCTTCCATGTCCAGTGGTAAATTTTTATTGTATTTTTAACAGTTGTCTTTACTTAACACAAATATATGACTTAAGTATAATAGTTGTGAAATTAACACATTATTGGTAATGTGAAATTGTATTCTTTGCTTATAAACTTATTTTAAACTTTTCACATCACAGTTTGTTTGAATAAATTCAAGTCAAAATGGGTGCAGATAAAATGCAAATTGACATATTACTCTTTAAGTTTCATGAAAGATATAACACCATAAAAATAGTAGTAAAAAATACTAGTAGTCTGTATGGAGATGTTCCTAAACTTCTAATGTGTAAAATGTGGTTTTGAAAGTTTTGTTCGAGAAATTTTGAACTAAAGGATATGAAATGACTGGGCCACCCAAAAGTTGTTAAAAAAGAGAAATTTGGGGAAGAAATTGTTAAAAATCAATGAACAACTTGTGAACTTACAACAAATTTTAGTGTGTCACAGACACGTATTGTTGAACACATTATTCATTTGAAACGGTTGTAAAACAATGATAATTGTATTCCACGTATATTAAGTAAAAAAAAAAAAACATGAAGTATAATTTTGTCTGACAAAGATAGGCAGCTCTAAGGTTTCATTTTTGTTTTTAAATCAGTTACTCATTTTTTAATCACAGAAAACTTTGTTACAGATGACAAAATTAAGGTTAAAACAAGTAAAATGGCAAAGCCATTCCTTGTTTTAACCTTAATTTTGGGACCTTAATCCATAGGGATAAAACTATGTCTCTGAAAGCACGAGTAACGCATGCGCAAATCTCGCACTCGTGCCTGTTTGTAGAAACAGTCTCAGCATTTTGTATTTTATTTTAACCTGGTTCTTGGTCCCCTGATTACCTACAAGTCTAATTTATTTTATGTGTGCATGATTTGGGCTACTCTGTGCCAAATTGCAACTCCTGATGTGTACTCTTTCATACTTCTAAGGCAGGGGGTGTCCAACCTGCAGCCCATGGCAAGTTCCAATGCGATCCAATAAAGGTGTAAACAAAACCGACAAATGTTTTAATTTTTTATTATTTATTTATTTCAACGGATAAACTCAGAAAAGAAGTTTTACAAAGCCATAAACCTTTATTCATATTTTAGTTTTGAGTGGAAATAAAATATTTTCATGTACTTGGAGATGTGTGAATGAGGAAGGATTACTAAATAAGGCTGGAGTTGTGACTCAAAGGATTATAGACCCAAATTTGGTGAAAGGAGAGAAAGGACAAAAGATAAAAAGTTGTCAGAAAGGTTAAATAGTTCTTCTGTTAGGCAAATATTGAGTCTTAATTTTCCAACCTTTCTCACTTCTTTATCTTTTGTCCTTTCTCTTCTTTTTCCGAATTTGGCTCTATAATCCTTTGAGTCAAAACTCCAGCTTTATTTAGTATTCCTTCCAGCGTTGCAAGATTTGGCTACATTGCGCCAAATGTGGCTACTTTTTTTAGTTTAACGTAAAAAAATATCATTTGGCGCTTTGGCTACTTTTGGGGCTACATATCATTTATAAATATATTAGTTGAATAAAAATGCACTTTAAAATGGTGTTTCGTCGCTTTTTATTAATCAGAGACTCAAATAAACCAAATATTTGCGTTTTATCAAATAAATGAATTTATCTATTTCTAAGTAAAAATTGAAAGTGTCTGTAAAAGTAATTTTTTAAAATATCCTGTTTCGTGATAAAGTTTTAATACTCATTATTGTAATCTAGACATGTTAATCCTTAAATATACTTGTATATTGGACCACAAGTATATATTACATATATACTTGTGGCCCAAAACTCCTTGACTTCTTTCAATGAAACAGAGAAACAAAAAGGTTGGACACACCTGCTCTAAGGTGTGCAGCTGTTGACAGCAGCACAATTTTAGAGACAAGACATATTCTCGTCAATAAAAATATTTATTAACCAAAAATTTGTTCTAGTGGGTGGTGATTGTTCTGTCAAGTACCAAAGTACTACTGTATTTGATTAATATGATTTTGATATACAGGGTAGCATCAAGGGATTAATTAATTGAGTTAATCAAGTTACTTGAATCGTGCAATGCCATTTTTTTCTAAATACATTTTATTGAAGAATTGAATTCTAAATGCAATGTTTTCTGTCACAAAAGAATATTGTGGCAATATTAGCAATGTAAGTGGCATATTTTGAAGATAAATTTATGTGAAAATATAATGTTTAAAATGCCAGAGTGCAAGTCACATGTCTTTTGGCGCATAAAATATTCTGGCTTATATTTACATCATTCTGATATTCCAGAGAATTTGTAACCCAGTGAGTTTTTTTATCATTTTATTGTAAAATTGAAATAAATTCATTCTTTAGAAAAAAATGTTTTTTTTTATCTCTCCTGAAAAGTTTTTTTTGGCATTTACAACACTTGGCATGCTTCACTTGTAGTGGGTAACCTGTATATAGTGGAAACCTGTCTACTACGAAAGAATTGCTTGATCCCGTGGGATTCTGTTATTGACGTGTTTGACTGTTTATGTTTGTCATTCAAGTATCACAATTTCCTGTAAATAACCCACAACTGTCTGTGCTTTAAAAAGTCAATTTGAAAGCAGATTATGTGCCACTGCAGGTTATTTATCAACTTTAAATTACAATTATGAGTTCACCCAACAGTTTTTCCTTTCTCCAAACTTACCAAGAGCATCTTTAAAAATCTTGAAAAATTCTTTATATGCTATACACTTTATTCTTCAGTCTTGATTTTTCTGGCTATACTACCATAGACATATGTATGCCTCACTTCTAGTTCTCTCCTTGTTTTGTAAGTGAATTCATGTTTTAATTAATATCATAAGACACTACTTAAACTTATATCTTGGATGCTGATAAATTCCAGTAATTTCCCTTATCTCTCTATAATGACTCTCAATAGAACTATTTAAAAACTAACTCTCAATTTTAGCTTATGTTAATTCACTGCACTGAATAAGAGCTAAGTGATTAACTCTCAAACTCTTGTCATTGGATATTGTAGTCTATGTGCAAATTTTCTGTAAGATCAACAATAATGATGTTAACAACAATTACTTTATTTACTGTTTATTTATATTGTACATTTTGTATGTCAATCACTACCACCAAATGTCATACCAGTGACATTGTCACTCTGAATTTTTATCAATCTCATGTAACACTTCTAAAATCAAATATATCACATGCAATGTATATATTAAAATATTTTTTAAATTAATTTTTTCACTTTTTATTTTCACATTTATTGTTATTATATATTTATACTGTCCAATGAAAGATGAACTTTTCAAAATCATTTTTGATTAGCCCTTTGTCTTGTTAACAAATTAAGACATATGTCATGATAATTAATGTTAGTAGGCTATAAACTCTTGTTCTTTTCATTGTGTGAGTGTAAGTTTAATGGTGTGTTATTTGAGTCTGCTAGTATTAATGCTTTATGTAATTGTGATGTTTCTTGTTTCCTGTAGAAAAATTCTCGCAATGACTGTATTTGTTATGATTAGTGAAGGTTTATAATGTCAATCAGGCCACGTCTGCCATCTTTACGTGGAAGGATTAATCTTTCTGTGGCTGATTTAGGATGATGTTGTTTATGCTTAGTAAGCGTTGTTCTTGTTTTCCTTTGGAGTTGCTCGAGATCTGTGTGAGTCCAATGTATAACTCCAAACGAGTATGTGAGTATTGGGATGACATATGTGTTTATTGCTTTAAATGTGTGTTTTGCATTTAGCTGTGTTTTGAGAATGGTGTTTAACCTACTTTGGTATTCTTTAATTAATCTTTACTTCATTTGTGTATGTTCTGTTAGCCTGGCCTGTTGGAATCCTAAATACTTGTAGAACTCGCCCTCTTCCATGGATTCAATAACGTCTCCATTTCCAAGTGCAAAATCTTCTTTCTTCAGGATTCCTTTTTCTATGTGAAGTNTTTTTTTTTTTTTTTTTTTTTTTTTTTTTTTTTTTTTTTTTTTTTTTTTTTTTTTTTTTTTTTTTTTTTTTTTTTTTTTTTTTTTTTTTTTTTTTTTTTTTTTTTTTTTTTTTTTTTTTTTTTTTTTTTTTTTTTTTTTTTTTTTTTTTTTTTTTTTTTTTTTTTTTTTTTTTTTTTTTTTT